GCTGATAGCGCCCTCATTGGTGATTCTTTGCAAGATCCTTTCTTGTGCTTATACAAATGTACAAGTTTTACAACTTTGAGTTGTGATACTGTTCAGTTTCTTGTGCCTCGATTTGAGCCAGTCATAAAACTGCTATGACTAAAATTTGTCTAATTTTTTTTCTCTTGTGTGTTTCTTGATTTCAGGTGTACCACAGCAGTCTCAGCCCCCATCATTCCCCCCTCCCCCACCTAACATAGTCCATGACTACAACCACGGCAGAAACATTCCTGACTTTAGTAAACCACCGCCAGGTTTTCCACCACCGGGTGCCATAATTCCACCACACGGAGGACCCGTAGGACCTGCACCAGCACCATTACCAGTTATACCAGTACCAGTACCAGTTGCTGCTCCACCCCCTCCACAGCCTATTCAGTTGGATCCTAATGACCCGTCCTTATTACCCAAAATGCCTTATTTTGATTTACCTGCTGGATTGATGGCTCCACTAGTTAAGGTATGATGATGATGATGATGATGAGTTTTCTATGTAATGCTTTTATTAAAGTAATATTTTTAGCTCCGCTGTCGACTTTGTCGAGCGGAGCTTATCATATGAGTGATTGTCCGGCGGCGCCCAGCGGTCGACGTACGTCGTCTGTGTCAATGTTTTACTTTTTCGACTTCTTCTTGAAAACTACAAGCCTGAATGCTTTGATACTTGGTGTATATGTACCTTGGGTAGACCTCTCTTAGATTTGTTCATTTCATGATCATATCTTCAATTCTCTAATTTTGGTGAATATTTTTGTTATTTTTGGTAAAAAGTGATATTTTCGACTTCTTGCTAAAAACCGCAAGTTCAATTGCTTTGATATTACATATATAGGTACTACATGTGGACCACTCTCAAATTTGTTCATTTCATGATGATATCTTTAATTTTCTAATTTTGATGAATATTTTTGTCATTTTTTGTAAAAAGTGATATTTTCAACTTCTTGTTAAAAACCACAATCATTTATGGTGAAAAATGATATTGTTCATTTTCTAATGATATCTTCTATTCTTCAATTGAAATGTGCATTGCTAACAGCAGAGCTATCTCAGCCGAGAGGCTGCTTGTTTTAAAACGTGAATAATGTTTACAACTGATACTATATACGTGCTCCGCTGTTAGTGGTTTTTAAAAGTCCCCTCATGGTCTAAATTTCAAAACCTTTTAACAGCTATATTATTTTCAAACAAAAGTTTCATGTAACATCTTGTTCATTTTTAGTCTCGTTCGGGACTTTTTATTAACAAATGTTAACTCTTTTGCTTTTATACTTGGTATATGTTTCTAATAAAAAAATTACGTCTATTTTGTCCAAAATTGTAATATTTACTGTGCTGTCTCTATTCTATAGTTGGAGGACACAGACTATGAAGCACTTGATCCAGACGATATCAGACTACCACCCCCTCAACCACCAACTGAAAGATTGCTAGCAGCTGTAGAAGCCTTCTATGCTCCACCCTCTCATGATAGACCCAGAAATGGGTGAGTAAGAAATCTCTGTTCTCACAATAAACTTGGAATAAACAAGTTTGCCATTCTACACTATGGAAATATGCTTGATAATATGTTTTAGCACACGGGTATGGTGCACATTATTTATAGTTGTCGCGCTAAGCGTAAAATATTCGTAGCTGATATGTACCAGTAAACATCACAATATTCATGATGAACGTCATCATTTTATGTGTATTCAAACAGAACATGGAAAAAAACTAAACTAACTCATAATATTATGGATGGTAATTAAATCGCCATAAATTGTTAATTATTTTTTCAGTGATGGTTGGGAACACAATGGTCTGTATGAGTTCTTCAGGGCAAAACAAAAGTACGCCAACTTGAGGAAAGAACGAAAAGAATCCAGAAGTAGACATCGACGAGTACGGTCCAGGTCACGATCACGCTCAAGATCACGGTCACCACCCAGAAGACGACGCAGGTATGGTGAATAAAAAAAAATGGTGATATCTTAAAGTGTAAACGATGCCTAGGAAATCAAAATCCATAGAGGCAATCATCTTGTAATTTCTTTTATAATTTCAACCTGTTCAAGACATTTTTTAGAAATTTTGACACCCCACAACACCCCACTCCCACCCTTCAAGATATTTATTCTATGTTTCTCCTGAAATTGATAGTACAAATGTAGTTTTCTACTGCGTTATCTTCACACATTGACTTCTTTTTCTCTTAGATCACTTTCAAGGTCAAGATCAAGATCTGAGTCACCTCCTTACCAACGGACTTCAAAATCTCGATCTCGATCACGATCCCGATCTCGATCCAAGTCTCCCAAACCAAAGAAGAGGAAGTCTCGTAGCAGGACTCCACCTGGTTATTAGTAAGTGCTTAAGGTGTACTAGAGAATAATAGGGCTCCACATTCCAAGGGACTTAGATGAGATTCCTCACACAAGTATGGGGATTTGTTGTCGCATATGAGGTGTGCACGACTGCCAAGCTATTATTTGAAAACATTTCACAAAACTGTTTATTTGTTATCACATAGTCCCACAGAATGTGGTGTGATTCAGTTGATCCTGTTATAGATGTAATATTATCTTTTGTTTTTTTGCAGTCAACAGCCATTTTATACAACAATAGCAGATGTCAGTAAAATTGACCAAAGCAATAAAGGTCATCAGTTGCTCACCAAAATGGGTCAGTATTATAGATATTATTTTATTTTAGCTCGTTTTTTGCCTCTCCTACATTCCATTCATTCATATTATTTTCATCCTGCCATCCCTCGCATCCTCAGCCTTTACTTCCTTTCTCTCTACCTACATGCAGTTTAATTGTGATTATTAATTTGTCAAGTCAATGTAAAAGTATATTTGCCTGGCAGGATAATTGCTGCAAGCCAATGACCTGTTGGGTTAATAAATTACCAACCTTATTAACCAGCTAGAGCACTACTTGATGGTCTGCTTGCAGGTTGGGGTGGTCAAGGGTTGGGAGCCAGTGAGCAAGGTATAGTGGATCCTATCAAAGGGGGCGATGTAAGAGCAAGGGGTGACCAGTACAAAGGTGTAGGCATCGATATCAATGATCCGTTTGAAAGCTTCAGACGAAGTAAAAGTTACTCATTTATTGCCAGAATGAAAGCGAGAGATGAAGCCAGAGAGGGTAAGTGAAAAATAATTTGCTTTTAGTCCCAGTTTGAACAAAGTTCGAAACAGGGGACTTATAATTCGGTCTCAGTCTGTCCGTCCATCTGTCCATCCGGAGTCATATTTCAGAACCCTGTCGACCAAATCTGTTCATTCTTTGCATGTGCTTAGTACTGATTCAATCCAAGATGACTGACTGGCAGTCATTTTGTTTTCTTCTCTGCTACAATTTGATAGCTTTCCTAGAACCCAAAAGAGACCCAGAAATGTTAAAGCTACAGTTAGATTGTACATCATAATTTGATATTGGTAATTTTGATTTTATTCAAAATGATTTGAAAAAATCTTTTAACACATTGTTTATTATTTTTTACAGTCAAGAAAGGTGAATAAAGGACCACAGAATCCATATGTACAATTACCTCATTCAAGTTCATTATTCTGCTATAAAAATCATTTTGTTTTGTGGATGAGTTTGTCTTTAAAAACCATTTCCTGAATTGCTCAATTCCTTGATGTTCTACCAAGCTTCAGTGGCAGTCAACTATGCTTTCAAGAAAATATTGTACATTTTGAGCCCTGAACCTGCTTCATTTAATGTACCTTAAGGAGAAATCAAACTGTGAGGGCAGTATTCTGTTTATACCAACCCTTCTGTCATGTTTTGTTGCATAAACCAGTGTCAACTAATATGTGATCCATGTCAGGAAACCAATGAAATCTTGTGAAATGCATACTTTGCATTGTGTCCAAATTTAGGTTTCACTTGCAATGGTTTTTATAGAGAGCTAGCTAAGGCACTCAAGTCTGAGATAACAATTGATTATCTACAAAAGATGTAATCTTCTGAGTTATCTATCTACTAATCAATACATTAGAAATGTTGATATCTGGTCAATCCAACAGACTTTTACTGAAACATCGTGTATATTTAATAACTGGACAAATTATTATACCATGTCAGGTGATGACTTAATGTGGTACACAGCTTTTCTTACTTGAACACTCCTCTGTATTCATCGGTATTTTATGATAAAGAGTAGTATTTCATATATAAAATTGTTTTCATGTCTTTTATGAAAATGGGAATCACTGAATTTCAGTTTCATGCTTCTCAAATAATACTTACAAATACACATAAAATAATATAACTTGAATTGTATGAAAGTTCCTAACTTTATTAACTTAAGAGAAATCAAAAATTAGCAAATCACTTGGCCCTGATTTAGTGAGTAAAGTGATTTACTCCAATATTAGTATGCATACAGAAACTATTTACGTTGTCATGGAAAAGCTTAACTCGAAGTCTGAATAATTCATTAAGTTTTGCCTTAAATGAAGGCGTTGTCTATAGTCGTATATTGGCTTTTCAAAATTACATGTAGGGTGCCCTCTACAAGGTACAAACAATGTTTAGTGTTTTGTTGCTGGATGACATAATTCCATTTGTCACATGAATTTCTAAATGATTCCCTCTGCCAATAAATGACATTCCAGCCAACCACTGTTTAGGGATAGTTCAGATAGTTTTCCTGTGGCAACTGATTTTTGCAGGAACGTGTTTTATGTCAAGCTGAAAGTGCTGAATAGGTCAGAGTAGTAGAATTAGACAGCATCATACATGTCTATGTCCATCCCTGGGTAAGTCAGATGTTATTTCTAGTGAGGAATGCAAATGTATCGTGAAGGTACAGTATATGGGGACAAACCAGTAGTCTATTCTGTGTTGCTAATATATCCCTGGCATTTGGCTGATCTACCCAGTGCCTTGCATCTCTAGTAAATCCCAGTAGTTCTAAGCAGATAGCAAAGAGATTGTTCCTACGACCGTACCCCTTTGGTGACTGAGTAAACTGGTAGATGAAGGGTACATCCTTAAATTCTATTGCTACTGGAGACAGTCAAAAATAATGGCTTTCTGGACGGGGTTAATTTCTGATGCAGATACCAACAAAAGGTGGCATTGCGATTGCTGGTGTAAAGATCAGGGGTGAATACTGGATGCCTCCTTTAGTCCAATGCAGGATAGAGGAGGTGGTGACATAAGTGACGGGATGTATGTGGTCAGGTCTGGTCCGGTGACAAGCAACAGGGCACCAGATGCAGGCATCACATTGACAGACAGGTAGGAGCAAACTAAGCCATTTTGTAGAAATACTGGAATCACTGCCATTTTTTGCTACGGTTGGACATGTCTATATCTACATCAAGACAACTAATAGTCATACAGGACCCCTGACTAAGCAGCCTGGTGTTGTGACTCTGACAATCCAAGTTGTCTATATTTGACTTGTTTATGTAAACAATATAAACTAACTACATAAACAAAAGCGATGTACAAGTAGTCACTTGTTCTGTGAATTTTATTGAAAACAGAAATGATAGTCTGGAAATTTCAACTATTCAGGAAATGCACATCTTTTTGTCTTAAAAATAAACAACAAATAAAATATTTACAATATTATATACATTGTACTAATATACACAAATATGTCTTTTATGGAGTCAGTGTCCGAATATTAGTCATCTAAAATTTTACAAAAATAAGAGGAATATTTCACAACATTGAATAAACCAATCATAATTTAGGTTTTACTTTGAATAATCCAATCACAATGTAGGTTTCACTTTGAATAATCCAATCACAATTTGGGTTTCACTTCAGATAAACCAATCACAATTTAGGTTTCACTTTGAATAAACCAATCATAATTAATTTAGGTTTAACTTGAATAAACCAATCACCATACACAGATTATGCTCCCCTGATTAATACCGTATTTGCTCTATTAGTAACACATCTCCAATATAGAAATTTTTTTCCGATGGGGTTTTAATTAAGTACACCCAATTCACACTAATTTGATTACACTAATAGAACAAATACAGTATTCAATATTTGTAAGACTGTTACATATTGCATATATACTTCCATACATACAAGTATTTTGAAATGTTTATGTACAAGAAATTAAACTATGAAATATAAGTATACTGGATTTGTTGAATATCAAATGGACGGCTTTGACGAATTCACAAACACTTCTAAATCACAAATGAAATCTTGTTTTTTTGTTTGGCACTCTCACTGCAAATACAATAAAAAGTGACGGTGCAATGTCAGATAAATTCCATTCATGTGCTGCCATATATATGTATTGCTTTTTATACAAATACAGTACAAAACCAAGAATTTGTTCAGATTTCAAATATGTCAGTTCAAAGTCCATAAAACATATCATTTTCAAGAAGACTCAACTGCTTCTGTAGCGTGGAGTGAGATTTTCGCTTAAGGTATACTGTCTCCATTTGGCTCATAAAATACAACTATACGAGTGAGATCAGCAGCAGAATTTACAAACGTGACATCTTATCAAAATATCTATATTTTGTTTTCATGATTAGTCATCAATTTTCGGTCATGTGATATCAACTCAAGCATGGTACCAACATTTTCTCCTGGAAAATTGAGTTGGTTAAAAGGTCAAAATATGCCCCCCCCTCAAATGTTATTTTATTAAATTGTACAAGAATTGAATGATTCTTGTGATAAAAGTACCACTAAGTACAAGGTATAATTTTACTGACCATTATTAAATAAATTTTACCCTTGTCAGTTTTTATGCTTTTTCATGACAAAAACAACTGGCAGTGACTTAGGGGGCCTTACTTATGAGACTCCCTAAACTTGTCTCAAATCTTGGTCATGAATTTCTCAGAGTATACTACAGACCGTGCACATTGAAACAGACACCTGCTCAGTCGGATCACGTCCAGTTGCGATCTGTGTCTGCGACATTGTTGTAGCATTTCGACTGCTCTCGATGGAAGGAGATGACTGATATGTATTCGACATTGACCTTGTTACTGTTTGTTCTGACTGCTGTGGATTTGACACTGTTGTGGTTTTTTTGGACGCTGATATTGCTAATATGCCTTTAGGTGAAGACAACGGTGTGACATGACGCTGAACTTGATCAACAATTTCCATATACTTTGCTTTGGTATCAGCATTTATGCCAGAACCTCCATGGCCACCAATTCCTGAAAAATCAAATATTTATCAATGAAATCAAATCTTTATCTCACTTTTAGCTTGTTTCTTGATTACCAATACCTCAGTGAAAGTATTTGTTTTGGAGGCATATAAAAAGGCCCTTCCAGGAAATAACTGAGTAAGCGGTTAATGTCTCTAATGTTAGAAGGTTTGCTCTCTCCATGGGATACTAGACAAGATATTGATAAGGTGATGAGTGACACGATGTCATAAAAAGACATAAACCTAACAAAAATATATGCTACTACTGGTACTACTATAGTTATATCAACACATACTTCAAGGAAGTACTTTAAATTAATACTCTCATTGTTTTTGTATTGTTGTTTGTTCACAGTAAACTTACTGTGAAAATATCTACAAATAATGAACACAAAATATCAATATATAAGTTTATGTATAAAAGGACGTCAATTTTAGATGAAATAGTTTTACCCATTTAGGCTAATACTACAATCTTTGAATATTTAGTTTAGTCAATTTGGAAACAAAGATAAAAGAATTATGAACTTTTGAATTCAATGCACTGGTATAAAGTATATATATATATATGCTATGAACTATACCAAAACACATGCTACATAACTGTAAATTCAATAACCCATCTAAGAGTGTTGTTCATTAAAAGTTACTGTTAAGTTCCATTAGTTAACCACCCCTGAAAAGTGAGCAACATTTAATTAATGACCAAGAGTACAATATACTCATCAAATTTTGGCAAAAAAAAAACGACTTATACAAGACAATCTAAGTGACACAGATGGAGAGTCACAGTATTACATGACATGTTTCTTTATAACAATAATTATAAGTTATAAAGTTTTATAGTTATTTCAAATTGTAGCAACACTCTTGATAAGTACTGTGTATGTTAAACTAATGAATATTTTGACAATGCTTTTTATTTATTGGGAAAAATCATCCTGGACACGAGAAATTGTTAACAGCGACCTTTTTCATTTCAATACAGGCAATCCAAAAATCATGACATTTTCTTTGAAAAATTGAAAATTGTGATAATTTTAACACCGTTAGCTTAATTTGGTCCTGTCATGTTTGGATTTGTTGATGATATTACAACTACTGTAGACACAAACAACATGACAGATATGGTAAAGATAGGATGTCATACTCTGACAAAAATACAACACGATACAGAAACCAGGAGATTTGAAAATAAAAATCATACCTTTCATTTGCACATAAAGAAGATGGGAAAATATCAAGGACATTCTTCCAGGTGGTGGCCATGGTATTCGCTGGTACATAATAGGAATGATTGGTTTGGAGATAGAATCAGCCAGACTGATTTCCCGGTTACAGTTGTGAGAGACGATGTATTTAGGTGTCATACAAGCAATTACCACCTGAATGAAATAAACACAATATGGGGAGCTCTCTATTATCCATAGCTTTTGTGATTATTGACTGTATTAATCCAGCATCACCTGGAAATTTCTGTCAAATTAAGGCATTTCTGTCAATCTAGAACAAGATCTAAGTTGTATATGGGCAAATTAATTTCATTTAATCTTGGTATGTATTTGTACATTAGACATTATAGGAACCTGATGCACACTACTTTGTTTAGCAGATCAGAGCAATATTTTTGACTTCACAGGATTATTCACATTTAAATGTCACACATACATCATGTCACACTTATGCAAATAAATTTGTTTTGAGATCTAATTAAAGATGGCTGAAGTGCATTAGTCAGGTTCTATTTCAAAATGGCTGACTGTTTATATATTGGCTGACTGTCTTTTATTGCATATCAATGACTTGTCAATATAGTAACACTTTATTAGACCAACCTCAGTTTGTCAGTCCTACTTTCCACACTATGTAATCCTAACATTCTCTCCATGATATTATTTTTAATATATTAGCAAAAACTTTATCCATTCACTTACCTTACAGTTTCGCATTCCATCATCAATTCTCTCATATAGAGTATCACCTCCGCCCATTTGACCAATGTCCATCCAGCATGGGAATCCAGCTTTTTCCAAGTAGTCACGTAGTTGTTTTACCTCTTCCTGGATTCCCCAGTTATAACTGATGAAGATTGGAGCAGAAGTATGGGAATCTGAAATATAAAAGAATAATTAAACCAAAGTCATAGAGGCGAGGTGAAAAAAGATGGTGTATGAGGGATATACATGTAATGTCTAAATCAAAGTATGTCAGGGAAAATGGTAAAACCGACATGGCCACCAGTCAGCCATTTTGAATTAATCCACAAAGCCATTTGACATGCATTTAAACCATTATGTGTTGTGTCAAAGGCATTTCTTACAAATAATAAAGAGGCTACAGTCCAAAAAAATAAGTCTAAAGAAACTAATTAAACTGAAACTTACTCACAATCGTGTTTATGTTCTTACCTTGACCTTGCTGAATGGCATCAACAACATCTTCTCGGTGCATTTGTTCTAAGTACGATAGCATCATTTCAATTGACAGTGTAGTATTACCACTACTGTAAATCCAGTCTGTTAGCATGGCCAAAGCTGGGTTCACCTCGTCATTGAACTTGCGAATCTTTGCTTTCTTGTAACCTGAAAAAATTAAACAATACAATTTTCAGAATTGCACAAGCATTCAATTATACTTTATTTTTGTTTTGTTTTCTGGTTAGGCTTGATGCATTATGACAAGTATTTATAGGATGAGAGAGTAATATGTGATAAAGATAAATCAAATCTAAGTGTGATGTGAAATGATGACAAATTGTAAGACAAACATAATACTGCAAATGAGCGAGTCTGTGAAATTTTGTTGTTGTCTCAGGCTGTTTTTTTTTTGGTACTCATGCATTTTTTCGCATTCAGATTTACAAATCAAACTTCCACGCATCCAATGGTGATGCTAATGATCATAAAAATGTTATTCATCACACATAGATATCTCAGTGGTATAACTTTATCTTATAAATTCATGTCTACATGCTATGCATATAACATCAATACAACAGTCAGGATACAATACAAATGTAGTTGAGCTAAGCCAGACACAATTTGGTTTTGACAACTTTTTTTATTTACTAGCTTTCCTGTATATGCATACATAACAGGCAAATCATGCATTTTATCACAAGGTTTACCTAATTTTTCCGCCAGTGCCAACCAATCAGAGCCTTCAGACCCAGCGTTCAGTAATTTTGCTGCTTTCTTCATCCAGTCTGGTAGTTCTTCTTCTAAGAGCCTGAGATTACTTTGTTGTCTTGAAAGTGGTCGCGGAGCAACAACTGAAAATGAATTGTCAAGTCAGATTGCTCTAACATTGGGAACACAAAATTAACTTACTCCTCAACATTTAAAATTTGCTAATTAAAATTCAATTGAATGTAAGGCTAAACAAAAAAAAAGATTTGTGTCAGTGCACATATCATTATGATACTGTATTTGAGACCCTATTATTAAAGAAAGCTTAGAAAGAACTCCTGTGTGCTGAAAGTTATGGGAACATATTAATTAAAAATGTATTAGCCTTCCCAAAAAGTAGCTTGGCAACCAATATTTGTCTGCTATTTGAGATGTGAAAACAATGTGATCTACTTTATTGAAGTTTATAATACATACAGAAAATATATTCGATTTTACATCTGTTTTTTTTCAGTCTAATTAATTCCAGAGCACCTCTACCACAAGGTCAAGTTGAATCTGATTTTTTGTGATATAATTTTTTGAGAAGTCAGTAACCACGTACCAAGTTTCATTGAAATGTAATGAATATAACTTGAAATAGCGGGAAAGCCAACAATTTACTAATTATGCAAATTAGGTAATTAATAACATTGACCTATGACATCTATGTATCTGCTTCATTGTAATGTGATCATATTACTTGAGATAGCAGTGGAACAGTCATGCAACAGCTAAAAGGTAGTTAAATATCATGCAAATTAAGTAATTAATATGAATGGATTTAACCCAAAGCATCTATGGATCAAGTTTCATCAAAACCAAGCATATGTTTTTTTGAGATATCAGTGGAACAGTCGGATACACACACACAAACACTCATACAGACAAACTTGACTGTCTGGGGGAAATTACAACTTATGGATACCGACCAAGCCACTAAAGACTGAATATTGTAATCTTGTATTCAAACCATTGTAACGTTTACAGTACCAACTTTCATGTATCTTTACACTTGTAAACCTTATAAGATGACTCAATAAAATGGTTTAAAAACAAAAAAACTTGACTGTCA